CTGACTGGAGATCAAGCAGACGATGTACAATTCCACGTGGAAAGGTTAGTTATATGACATTGATCTGTAATGTGCATGTGAACCAAAAAAAACACTACAAACACGAGGGGGAGGATAACTATTCTTAAGCATCTATTTGTCCAGTAAATTTTACACAAAGGTTGAAGTAAGAAACTAGTATTACGAGCGTTTCTTTTGAGAAGTATGGAGATGCTTCGACTCAACTAAAGCCCCATTCGTTTGTTCGCTTCAATCTGAATTCTTCATGTATTTCATAGTCGACTGAGCCTTTATTTTAACCTGTTTTAGCATGTATCAATTACGTACATGATCAAGCCTCTGATATGGGTTAGAATCAAGAGAAACCTCGCTCTTACCAATTGCTGACGACGAAATCACTCCTGTCATATAGCTCGCACCTGCATCCTAAGCACGTGCAATAGATAGAGTTGTCTGTATCGTAACAGTAGTATTCAGCACAGCTAAAACCATATCTGCGAGCTTATGGGTCCCATATAAATAAAAATGTTGAACTCAGAGCCACAAACAATCCAGAAAGCTTAACCATCTGTCAATAAGACTCAGTCCTCCTCCCACACGTCAGACGATCAAACGACATGCAACAACCTACTTATCGCAATCTGAATACCGATGACCAAATGCAAGCACCATCACTATGTTTCCACCTGATCCATCAATCGCTGCCTGCTGGGTATATCTCCAGATCTTCCTGTGAGAGACCACCTTGATTTCTGTTGGGTGAATCTTTATCCATCTCGTTCCACATAGATCATCCAGCCCAGTGAATCATACGAAGTGAACACATGCAGTATGAAACCCCGCTGATCTAACTATCGGTCTACTTTTAATGCACTCGTGCTCTGATTTGTAGCCCAAGCTTTTCGGGTTGTTTCATTACAATCATGGAGGTTGACTACTATGTAGACAGGATAAACCTGACTGAGCAGACTCATTGACGGCGCGTTGATATCCTCATAAACTCATGGAACGAGGGGAACACAAACCAACATACGTTACCACGAATAAAATCTCCACTTTCTTCATCCCAGGCAGGCACAGAAAAACAACAATGCATTGGTGCTCTGTATGTCACCAAGAAGAGAAGGCAAGATATATGATAGTAGCCTGATTCTCCCTGCATCAGCTTCAAACGTCAACTTTTTTTTAACAGCTAGTTCTTACTCTGATGTGCTCAAGACTTTCTCTTTTGTCTGCTTGTGTACACAGTTTTATTGTTATTTTATATTGTCGGATACATGACATGATTGAGAGAACTATCGATTGTTGATTCTGTGTGGCCGTTTGGGTGCAATCCTCTTGAAGACATGGCATGATCTTCATCGGGTAGAGAGATAGATAGTGCTGTAGGTATATGGATCCATTGAACACCATTTCATCCCACGATAGAGATCATGTGACCACCTATATCTCTGCGTTATGCATTTTGGGGTCGGGTAAGAGTTTGCTTCCCAATTATTGGAATCATAAACGGTTGACTAGATTCGTCTAATCTGTGAGGGACTGCAATGCCAATCTTTGAACCACAAGAGTTCACTCGGCATAAAAGCGTCTAGGACAATCATCAATGACCTCTTGAATTGAGCAACTTGGCTTCATGAAGTACACAAACAAGAAAAGACTGTTCACATGTAGCAGAGAATATCATTCCGATCCAATATTGTTCGTGTAAACTTGAGCATATCCTCAACTATATATGTCGATTTGGTTACTTACTTGAAACTGTATCGTTGCTATTCTTGAAAAAAACCCATGGAAATCTTGTTGACCAGTTTTGATTCCTGACAATTGGCATGTTTTTGTTTAAAGTAGAGAAGACAAAGAGCGTCAGATGAGATGAAATGTACTTTTCTCTCTAGAATATGAGTGATAGGGTCCCAGTCAGGCAGCTCGCTCTCTCTCCCTCTCTCTCTCTCTCTCGGTTCTCCTTTGTGAGTCATTCAAGGGACAGACAAGGTTCATGTATAAAGTGGACAACAGAATCATTTGCCCATAGCTAGACTAGCATAGCATCAGGAAGCCAGGAGATCGGATTCGGCCGTATAATCTATAGTACCAGGAAAGCTGAGATTCTTGGAACAACATTGATGAACAAATATTTCTAGGAGGGTCTCTTCCAAAAGTGTCACGGTATCCATTGACTCTATACACCAGAGATACTTGTCTCATCTAATCTCTAAGGCTTGCGTAAACTGTCACTTTACACTTAACACAATTACATTGTTTTAGATTGAAATCCTGAAGGTACTTCATGATTACAATTGCAATGTCAATCTACAACAAGAGCTTTGATTATGAAACTCATCCGGTTATGTTATTGAATATATAGTTAGCTACATATATCTGTTGGACTCCACTTCCTTTCCGAAGATCCCGAGTATGAACCCCTTTCTGGCTGTAAATAAATGCAGATGACTTACAATACATTAAGTTCATACCTTGAAACATGCAATTATCTTTAAAATAAATAGGTTGAAGAATAGGTATCCAGAAGGTGTGCGTAGTTAAAGCTACCTTCTTTGAACGATACTCCTTGAAGGAGAAGATAATGTACATGCCCTATATATATTTATATTTATATAAAGTCTTTCTTGTGAATCTCTTTAATGTCATCAACTGATGCGCGGGTTGGAAATTATCGACAAGAGAATATTCTTTGCATTGAAGTCAGAGAATGCAACATGCACGTCATCGTACCTTGAAATTTCTGGGAAACCCACAATTAGGTTCGAGGGGTCTACTAGTGGACTTGCAGCTCTATTAGTCGTAGAAACGTGCTAGACAACAGAAGAAAGTGCGAAAAAATCTCAGAAGATCTTCATTCTTAAACACGTCCTCTCCGAAGAGTGTCAAAGGGAGAAACCTTGGCCATGCATGCATGGATGGCATCACGATACACTCCACAAGATGCATAATCTCCTGATCAGATAAGAAGCATGACGAAATGAAATACATGTGGACGTTGTGTTGTATATCATGGAGTTAGCAAAGTCTCGGCATGGGATCTGGACAAAGATTTTTTCAACCCTTTACAGCAAGATTCAAACTCAAGAAGATAGTTCAAAGATTTCCTTGATTCCCTCAACGCACAGTTGATTGATGACGTCCCCTGTGCAAGAGGAAAGTTAACCATGGCAAGATATATTGATGCCCGAGGATCTTCGTCGAGACTTGCTTTAATCTTGGAGATATACTGGGGAAGATTTGAGACTGTCGGTAATGTTCCAGGCACAAAAGGTATTCAGGAACAAGAGCTGTGGCATGTGCCACCGTACATCATCAAACCAACGAAAGAAACCAATGAAACAAAACCAACAAGACTGTGTGAGCCCATGCGTTCGTTCGAAGGCTTTTTGACTTCAAACACTCAACCTTTTCTTCTTTTGACCATCCAACACTCAGAGAAGAACATTGTAATTTTTGCCTTCATCCACTCTATGGAAGTTTCCTTGCATAAATAAAATATATGAAGGATTTTTTGTTGTTGAAACGATTACTGCCACGCGTCCAACACGATACATCCTAAAACTTCAGAAGAGATCACACAATTCAAGATAATTTTTTGGATCTGACTTGTATTCTGATTTAAGTATTGGAATTTGAGGAATTTTTATTAATATGGTATCCAAAGAAGAGAATCGTTGAATAACCTCTTCCTTCATCTTGGCAAGGTCAACACAATGATCCATGATCCTATTAGATGATGGAGAAGCTCCCAAAAACGTAGAATATGGAAACTGTTGGCTTGCCCGATGTGGCATGATTCTCACGAGCGATACTGTGACAGAACTGTTCTTCACTCGTGTGGCTCTGCATTCTGCAACTGCTTCGATAAACAAAGTTCAGACAACGTTTCCAAGCCCTTCAGCGAGGAGCGATTCCAAATTTGTCTGCTTTCTTGTGTACAAATAAATGATTCGAAACTGTCAACTGATTCTCTATCCTCAATTCTTGGATCGATGTGGAAAATATTCAGCAGAAATTCGTTCTTTGAGGAGATGGTTCTCTCTTCCACTTCCTGACGTGCAGTATGTGGATATTATGCCCGATGGTCCCAGACAACGCCTCCAGCAAGTACGACCTCTTTCTTACCTTGCATTACCCCAGAAGCAAGGCCTCCACGAGTATCAATGCAACCTCAAAAGAAATACTGTACAGACGACACCAGAGTCCGGTGGTATTGTATTCTCCTTAAGGTTGTTTGTGTGTACGATGGTCGTCGTGTCATTGCACATGCAGGACGTGCAGTGCAGCGCAGATCAGGCATCTCCAGTACGAAGACCCAGAAACTTATTTTGAACTTCAAGTGAAACCGAAAGCCGCACACGAGCACCTAAAACAGGGAAGAGAGACTGCATGTACATTGTTTGTTGGGTCTTAAGTTCAATATCGAACTCATGCACAAAAGAACAAGGAAGCAGCGTTGAGGATAAAGAGTCACTTTTATTTCATCCCAAAATGACTCAAAAATTTTCAAGACTCTGAAAGCCTACCAAAAAGCCTAACATGTGACCATCATCCGCAGAGGCAAGGGGAATTCTCAAAGCTTTTCCTACTCATTAGCAAGTGGATTTGAATCTGAGATCTAGTCGTGCGAGAGGGGTGTATCCACCATATTTGCTTGCTAGATTACTATTTCTTTACATCATTGCTTGTACAAATTACAGCTTTGCCTATCAGTCGAAGACACGTAATTTGACTTGCATGAATGATCAGATAGAATAAGTATAACAGCTCACAGAATGGGCTTTAGAACGTTGGAGGTAGGAGAGTTCACTAGAAGGCCAATCAAGGTCGGAGTCAAAACTTCCACTGACAAGTCAAGTACCGTGCCAGATTATTTGTGTAACCGACATGTATTTGCAAGGGAAATTCAGGGACACTTTTATTTTGTTATACCTTAAGACTTGCCTCATACCAGGTGAGCGAAACCATGGACGGAGATTTAGTTTCCACACACTCACATCAAACAAATACAGTCAGTCTTCTTCTTTTCTGGGATTCGACTGGCGAGGTGATCTGCTAATTCGAAATCAGCATCAGATAGCTGAGCTGAAGCCTATCTGCGGGAACCTTTATACAAGTTACAGAATTTTTTGGGAATGCCCAAGCACCATGCTCAATGGAAAAGACTTTATACTTGTTTCTCCACCATACCCTCCAGTGGTGTGTATCACATTGACGTTCCCAGATTGAGGTTAGCAACTTACGATGTACCTTGACCCTCGTCTCTAGCGTTATTATCCGCGGTATAAAAAAGAGGGCTTGGAGTCTGAAACCACTCTGGCCTGACTACTGTAATCAACTTGGGCCTGCCTGTTGGCCCTGTTATATTCCAGAACTCAATGTATGGAGTCTGTCCAAGCTCTACTTCACTAATCATTTCGAATATCCGAAACCTCAGGCTGGACCCCTCTTACGTCACTAGAAACGTACATGCCAGATTGAGTATCCGGTGTTCCTTGTACGTTCCTTCATTGACTGGTTAGTTGTTTTGTTCAGGACTTTCAAATTCTAGCGCTTTGCCACTCGATAAGCATCTTAAAGATGGAATTCGATGACAGAACAATCTATGTTGGACTGACTATATGCTTGAGAAAGTACGAGCACATGGTAATCACAAGCAGAGCTCGAGGGTTTGTCTCCTTGCTGCCGTCGGTCCAGCCCTTTGTTGTCACAAGCCTTAAGACAAGCCTCAAGAAGCTGAAAACCACAATCGCGGGCTGGCTTGTTCCCTACAAAGCAGCTGCTGTTGTTGGCATTGGGGGCCAAGGTATCAAATAAAATCACAAGCAGAAAGTGGAGGACACATGAGAACGGAAGAGTCCACGGGCTCTACAGTACCGTACCCGAACGAAGACTCAGGAGGATGTCTCTGAGCTTGAACACCGGAGGACTATAGATGCCAGGAGTGGTAGGCTGATTAGATTTCTCCGCTTGATTGTGAAGCAGATTGAATGTAAAAGTATAACACCGAAAATTAGCAGGCCTCACGGAATCCTGAAGTCGCGCGAGCTGACTGACTGACTGACTGACTGCTTTCACACAGATTTGAGCTCAGATGTACTTTGACAGAGGCTTTAACGATGGACAGTGCCATGGGAGCACTCTTGAATGTACAGTACTAGCTTTCTCGAAGTAAAAACTGTAGAAAGCCACCGCACCATTCCAATACAGGAAAATCGTAATGCTCGGCTGGAATGATCTCAGCTCTGGCCACTCCGCAGCACATTCCGCCCACCTTTGAACTGCACTTTCGAACGACATCAGCATCCGAGCGTCACGAGTCCCTCCCTGTCCCTACACCACCAGAGGTTGTGATAGAGCCAACATCTCGACTTACTCTTGCTCCAAGTCCTCCTCTTGCTCAGGTCGCGAGCCTTGTCACGACGTCAGACAGCGAGCACCAAGCGCACATGATTTCCAGACACCACAACGACAGCCCTCGAAGGAAGGTCACGAAACAAAGGTCGTGCACGGCAGAAGCCCCGTCACTCTGGACGGAGGGCTGCGGGCTGAGCTGGGGGCTGAGCTGGCCCTCGCGTGATGATGACTGACACACATCGGACCTCTACGTACCGTGTACGTCCGTAAAGAAGGTGACCGTATATATAAAAAAATATGACTGGAGCCCGAAAATACCGTAACGTCGAAAAAGCAGGAATGGAGGCGCAAAACCTGCAGAGCAATATATTTGGCTGCTCGAGGATTGGACGGGAGGGGTGGACTCATCAGATGCGCTGCTGCTCGAATCTTTGCAGGCGGACAGCGTTCTCGATGAGGCGATACTCGATGGAAAGGCGCGGCCGCCATTGGCTCACGATCTCGCCTCGCGTAGAAGACGTATCTTGAAGCTTTCAACAACAAAACCGACCTCAATTTGTAGGTGGATGACGAGGAGCAGTGAGCGCGAGTACTCTCCTCCTCCCCATCCTCCCATCAGCCGCCCGCCTACTGAAAGCGGGCAGAGATGGAAAGGCATCGCCGTCTCCAGCCATGAAACAGAAAAGGTTCCTTCGTGATTCTTCCAAATTCCTGTCGTGCACGTATGGATGGATGTACCTGTCAAGAGTTTATTACGTACAGAGCTGAGAACATCGAAATTTCATGTCGAACGACATTTATAGTCCTAAATGTGGAGGGAGGGACGGAGGGAGTACGAGTGCTCTCGTTAGCACTGAACTCAAATGAACAGACTAGCAGGTCTCGGCAGATACCATCACCGAACCCTCAAGATCAGAAGGCCCACACACACAGATCCGATGCTTTACAACGGATTACGACACAATCATAATGCTTGCAGAGCGAGTATACGGAAGCGAGATGTAGCAGAATTATACGTATCCTCGTCACGATCATTCGGTGGACTACGATCTCGCAGAACAGGGGATCTAAACCAGACTAGGATCATAGATATTCTCGTCACGCTGTCTGACAGACTCTTCCAGCCATTCCATTCTCGTGTTTCCACTGGCATGAAGAGAGATATTTCTGTGCAAACACTATATAGGCCGAATGATGAGAGGCTGGATAATCGACAACTGCGATTCATGATTGGCAGTCATCTGGTTTCTTTGTCGTTTCCTGTGTGAGCTGCAGCCGAAACTCATGAATGGAATCTGGAAACTCGGAAGGGGGATCCTTTCGTTCCATCGAGCTATGGTTCACGTCTAGTTCAGTCGCTTCAGCCCACCGCCAGGACTCCCTACCTACGTACCATTGGACGAGGTCTGTGGACTAGCGCGTAGAGTAGTCCCATTAGCTCTGCTGTACAGTAGTCTCGAATTGCGTCGCAGCCCCTGCTCGACATCCAGCCAACTTTGGACACATGAAACGCTAATGATTGCAGCCCATGTGTTCAGAAGTCCAGAAGCACCCGGCGAGTTTTAAATAGTCTTGCAGCAGTGAGTCAGTCAGAAGAGTGGAGCAAGTGCTGCAAACAAAGCCATGCCTCTCTCCCTCCCTCTGCTGCGGCAGCTGGCCGTCGATTACAGGACTCCCCCCAATATGCTCGGCAAAAGCATCTCCGGTTCTGGAGCTGTTGGCCATTTTACTGGAACGCGTGCTTTATGGCCGTTTGGGTATCATCGCAACGAATGATGAGATGAGGCAAGCCGAGAAACTGGGTACAAGTTGGCAGAGTCTGTTACAGACATCGGTCAAGGGTTCCCATGCGCCTCCCCTCCCCTCCCCTCCCCTCGCCTCCGACGTTCTGTTGCTCACGAGACATTCCACATATCGAGCGTTCGAGGTCGGATAAAGCTTTTGAGCGAGAGATGTATGTCACGAGCCATTGACCACTCCCCAAAAGAGGCGGAGAACCTGGTTGACTACTGACTGCTTTCCGGTTCTTTTTGGTTGCAATCTAAGCAGTTATCGGTCACATACTTGCTCGACGCTAACTTCCTACTTTCTTCGTCACGAACCACTTCTCCCTCGCTCTGTCTGGTGGCAAAGTGGCAAAGCTCTGTGGCCGGAAAGGTGTGCAGGGTGAGCTCAGCAGAACACGTTCTCCTGATACCAACTCGACGTGATCGACAGATGTGCTTCTCGACGCTATTGGATAAGAACACGATATAAAACTGCTCCATGTTTTGGGCAGAAGAGGCAAAAGCTCAAGTGAGCAGTCTTTGTGCCCCAACCCCAACCCACTCCAAGATTTTGACTGCTCCCGGACACTTTTGTGACAACTTTGGGCAAAACTTTGATTCATGTCCTCCCCCTCGTCCGGTGGTGAGATCATTTCTATCATTTCGTGTTATTCTGATGAATGATCGATGTCATCCTTAACGCACAAGGTACGCCCTATGCGTAGGGAGTAGAGCTAAGGACATGCACGACACTCAAATATTGCGTAAAAGCTATCATGCTTTTGATCTTCAGAAATATTCCACTACCTAGTACGAATTGTTTACAACACAGTTCGTAGTGTTCAACCGTTGAAGGTACAACCTCCATGCATGTGGTTTTGAGTCACCATTCCCTATATAGCCAGAATTGTGTTTTTCACATAGCATTCACTCAGGAGTGAAAGGTCCAAAACCTTCTCTATCTCAATACTCCAATCTACTCCAAACCATTATCTTCACTCCAAATAAATGTCACAACACAATCATCACCAAGTTCTTTGCTATAATGCGACTAGATATAATAATACATATCACATGGTTGACATGTTATACTCACACATACACATGAAATCCAGAGAAGAGTCGAGCCAAACTCACTCCAATCGGAGACGTAGAGTCAAAGCTAGCGGAAACTGACAAATTCCCTATGCAAAAGGTTCAACTCGAAGAACTGACAATTTTTTGAAGTTACCTTGACTATACTCTCGATCGATAATCGAACCAAACTACGCTCCTCAACCGTTACTCGCCAAGTTTCAATGTTTATCGATTTGAACTCGAATCTAATGTCTATCTAAAACTCACACTAACGTGTATACACATGACATCCCGCAAACCAATCTACTATCCAAGAACACACCATTTCCCATGACATTTCTCGGCAACAAATGGATTCTCGCAATTCTTTGAGTAAGTGATCATATATTGTCCTATCATACTCTTTCACGCACTTCACTTATCTCATCCATGGCCTCTGTCTCTTCTATCACTTCAACTCCGGTACCAAGTTAAAACTATTCACTATCTTCTCTTCTTTTCAATACTCATCTTACCTTCTTTCTTTTCAATTTGTTTCTCCAAAGCTCTATATGTATGTTGCGTCTTTACTCATAATAAAATCTTGTACTCAAATTCCACTCTCCTCTTCAATGATGAGCATATCCTTAAACTGAGCTTCACTCTTGCATATACTCTCTTCAACTGAATCTAACCGATCTTATTCTTCCAAAAGTTCAATTACAAATAAGAATGAATATCATGACAGTTTTGTTTTGATTTTACTGAAAATAGTAATCAAGTTTTTACTATCTATGTAGACGCATTTAATAGAAGCTAAATTTACAAAATTGTGTTTGATTTTTTTGAACAGATGTTCTACCATGTTCCAAATTAATTATGTATGATTAAATTTCAATCATGACTTGATTGACTATTTTTTAATCTTTTATTGATTTGAGGATAATAGAGAGTAGAATATGACGTTTCAGACTTTGAAACTGAAAGAATCTAGAATCAGATAAACCCCAGAATACGTATGAATCTCCTTGAAGAAAAAATCTGAATAGTAAAGAACAATGATCATTGTCTTCCAACGTATGAGATTATCATGTTTTGACAATTGAACATACTATAGAGATGATATGGTGTTCATAAACTTCATATTATTGTACTAAAATTCATGGAATATTAATTTATCAATATTTATCAAGTATCGCCAGTGTTTGATTCATGACATTTATATAGTTAGTTAATTTTTTATTTCGATCAAATTTAGATATTTGCTTGCTTGCTTGAATACTAACGAACTCACTTAAGCTTATGCATGATCTTATACTCCCCCTTTGTCTATCAACAGGCTCATCAGGATACTCAGCGGACAAAGTATGTCTCTAAATTACATCTAGAATATGATTCCTATGAGTTTCAACTTATCAAATAATACTTCCTACTTTATGAAGGTATAGAAGAGTTCTCTTGCAATCCATTGTGCTTTTCAAATACTCGACTCGGTGTCAGCTATCGAGTTACCATCAGCTACCATTTCTTTTTTGATTTTCTCACCACGATGCTACAAGAATATACACTTTTTTGAGTAGCGCATGTGGCAAGACAATGTCTCTCACAAATATCTTATTATTATTTTCATTATCATCTAAAATTGATTTGAGCTGATGTGTCGAATTGAAACCTCTAATGTATTCTAACAGTGGTCTACAAGCACATGGTGTGTGGACGGAATATGCTTGAGTTCATCAAACGCGTGCTGCTGAACTTCTCTCCGTATGCAAGGTGTCTTGGTGTTAAGCAAATCATACAGATGCGATTCTTCAATAGATCGGTCTCTACTCCGGATAAAAACTCCAATCAGAATAAGTTATATTGTGAAAGAACTGAATTTGGAATCTCTGTCCAAAAAAGCCTCAATTTCGGCCACACTATCAAACACCATTATCTCATGAAACTTGAGTTAGAAAATGGATTCTTACAATCACATACATAAAAGTAGGTAATCTTGTTAGGATGCTCATGTATTATATTTTGATGCTTCAAATATATTACGTGCATAAGCAACTATCACTTGATTAATATTATTAACTATAGGAATAGTCCGTCGATTGTAGTAAGGTAAGCCCCCATCTTATTCAATTGATATCAGCACTTTAACTCTTCATGAAGTCTCTCATATATTGATGGGTTCACTTCTTGTTTACTTCACAACAGTCACAAATGTCGTCATGAAGACTTGTCCTTAAAATTAAAAGATTAAAAATTGCAAGGTTGAGTACCGAATACTATGAACTTAATCTTCACTGCTGCTATATGTGGGAAATAGTGCCATCGTACAAGTTTTGATAAGGCAGTTTCCTCCTATCAACATGTGTGGTAGAAGACACATCCCATCTGGCGAAGTTTTTATCCCGGTAAGGACATTACGTCCTGATATGCGTCACATGTGAGTTCTACGCACCACGTATAAGAAATCCGAACATTCCACACTATGCTTCACAAACGTCTAAAACGGTCGCTGCATGCGCTGGCTGTGGGAAAGAAAGTCGTTGACAAGTATGCTGCCTCCATGTTTGGTGATAAAGCTTGTTCCCGAAAACAAAAGGGGCTGCCTCCCCTTCTCGTCCCCATTGAATAGGAGCGAACAATTTTACTACCCCAGAAGACAAAAGAAACCAAACTGCTCTTCGTGCTCCACAATACCATGAGCAGATCATTATTCTAGGTCTTCTGGGGCAGCGGCAGCAGCTGGCCGGCCATCATTCAAATGCGGCTGGTGATTCTGGTCAAGTTCGTGACTGGCTCCAAGCAATCGAAAGTGAAAGCGTGAGGTGAGCACTTTGAACTGGACTCGACCACTCACGCGGACTCCTCCGAACGAGATCCCGTGAATCGTTGCCTCGCGCTACCAGACATCATTTCCTTGACTTTAAATCACAGCAGTCTCGGTCTGCTGAGCATCGAACTCTATTCTCCTTTCCTTCTAGGCTTCGGTGCCTTTTGTGTCGGCATGGGTGGTGCTCTGGGGTCCACACATAGTACCGCTGTCGGAGGTACGGCTTCTGGACATCAGCATGCTAGTGACTCCGCGGCTGTGCCCGCCGTCACAATTTCATGCGCGCCATAGGGTTTTGGGTTGGGACCAAGAAATCGGTGAAACTTCCTCGGTTTAAGGAATGAGAGACAAGAGAATTTGGAGAGCTCAAATCTCGCGCAATTTGCATGAGTAACTGCCGCAGGTCGAGAGCAACAAGGGTTACATGCCGGATGACTGTTGTAGCAGACCACATGGCACACCCGGCAGCGCTGGCTCCGGAACAGTCATGGACAATGACCTCATTCATGCATTGGTACTCGCTTTCCACCATCGCAGAACCCGTTCGGGCCTCCGGAGCGAGGCATGTCCATAGCTACCGGATTCGGCAGAAATCGTACAGGCTTCTTCTTGCTGCAACTCGGACTTGATGTTATTCGTACCAGACACACATCGCACGCTCGAATTGGTACCGCCTCAGACTCACTCTGAGGCACACAGCTACCCAGAGGATTGAGAACACCGTCTGCGTGATAAATGGAGGACGGTACAGGAAAACTACTACGATGTTTGAAAAACCTGATGACTCCGTCTCCCCCTCACCAACTCCAACAAGGCTGTCATACCTTTCACGCCTGAAGACCTGCATGGCAGGTTAGGCTACGACAATCTCGCTTTCTCGTCACAACCTTTTAATTGTTAGCACCGGGAATGCGCTTAATCCCAACACTGTAGCCACACTTCTCATGGCCACAAACCGACGCTGCTAAGGAGCCACTCTCCCCCAGGGGCCCCATGCCATCTGCGCCGAGGCCCCAAGAATCGCATTTGCAGCGGGAAAGCGACCTTTCTCACAAGCGCTCCCATGTGAGCGACTGCCAAACCCTGTCCTCTTTTGTCTACCCTAGCCCGCCCTAGAATCAAAGAAAGTCGACTCCGCTAATTAGGCTCCTACGGGCGGAGCTAGAAACAAAGCAAACCCTCGCCCAAGATCGAGAGAAAAGCCACGGCACTGATGAAAGCATTAGGAGCAGTGCCACAACTGCACGAGCCAGACTTTACACTTCAGGCATCCCCACTGACTCGTGACAGTGTCCTGACTGTGTTCCCCATCCTCAAGCAAAGCGAAAGATGGATAGATAGAGAAAGAGAGCGAGACTAGGACTACTGTGTGTGGATCGGCGCCCGAAATTATTGTTTCTGCTATCTTTGATGCATATATTAAACTCGCCTGGCCCCTCTTTCGGCTCGAGGCGCTCTGCTTTCGGACGTCGCAACGCATTCTAGAGCATTCAATGGCCTTTCCAGTTGCACGTTCTAAAAATACACCGGAAAGAAAGCCTGAAAGGTGCACAGTCCCAGGTCCCATGAGCGAGAACGGGTGATTTTCTTGGACCGTACCTCATCTGCTGATCGTGCACCTCCGCATCGATAAGGCTCCGTGGAGGTGACATAATTTCTCAAAAGCGTAGCGTAGCACATCTTCCGAAATACACATGCGCCCTTCTACAGATAGTCCTAGAGTGACAGGTAGAGATAGAGTGAGGAGCCAGTAGATACAGCATCGTGAGAAGGATCTGCTGTGGCGCCTACCCAAAATCATTTCCATTTTGCCCCGACCTTCAAAATTGATTGGCATCGCTAATGTTGTATACAGACCGTCTCGCCTCGGTAGTAGTCCCCAAGTATATATTTATTCCTCTACTCGAGCCTAGCCCCATGTTACCCTTCGGTTTCGTCAACGTGGCAACTTATGGGATTCTCTCATCTTCTTGGCTCTATTACTTGGTTCCTATTTAATAATGGTGCATCCCAATTTGACTTTATGCATGACAGCTTTGTATCCCATATTTCGATACGGTCCTGTCTGTTATACCTAGTCGCACCCCTACTTGGCTAGGTTCTCACAAGCATACTTGAAAGAGCCGGTACTGCATTTCTCACCTTAGTCACATTTAGGATTTAGGGTTGCTTTAGGCTATGGTGTACTTGATCTAATGCTACTCCCTAAATTCTCTAGGGCTCGGATTAAGTTAAGATTGTTTGTTATTCGTAATTTTTTATTGACTAAAGTCAACATAAGCCTCCTTTGTGAATTTCATTTGTAAGATTAAAATAAAATATTTCTGAAAACAATAAACCCTTTCAATGCAAGAATTCTTGTGGAGAAACTCAATCAATGATAGTTCTAACATGTGCCTTTGAATGTTCAGATCCAAATTAAATCAACAATCATGATAAGAACCTAAAATCACATGCGTTTTGAAATTTCATCTTACACAATATTACGTTAATTCACCAGATATATTGAAAAGATATTGATGATATTGAAGATTTGAATATTTATTTATCTATTTGATCCAACATTGGTTGCCCATGCCCACCCATTTGGGTGACATTATTTTTCCATGGATGGACATAGGTGGTTATTCTGTTGGGTTTGCATGGGTATACTTTCCAAATGGGTGCTGCAAACCCATGCCCATCAATAATGCTTGAGAATTGGACATCTATTCTATCGGTGACTAACTGATAGATCAAACCTCAATCATCTCATTTTCACGCTCTTCACATCCAAGACATCGTGAGAGTTGAAATATTACAAGCCAAACCATGATGAGAATATCAAAACCGAATTACATTAGTGTCCGTTCTTGACTTAGGAAAAACCTTTCGTTACCCCAACAAACGCTAGAAGTTTCAACCATTCCTAGTGTGAACAATTTCAAGCGATGAATGTGTAAATTAATTTGAGGTAAAAGCTCTTCAATTTTGTGCAATATAATAACAAGAAGCTCTCCTATCTGAAACCAGCAATAGTGAATGACTTTTTGTAGTCACATCCTAGGCTTAGTGTAGGCGTGTATTACACAGTACACAGCTTTTGATTTCATGGGCATAATTTGAATACCATGGTTGGGCACACGTAATACTATGGATGAGCATAGCACAACTATAGGTTGCTGCTAATGATTATTGTCTAATCTCGATACAAATTTGAAGTAAACTGTTGAACTGTGATATATATATATATATATATATATATATATACAAAAAACTCCTATATGTCACAAGAGTTTTTGTAACATCAAAATACAGAATTTTATGATTACTTATATTATAATTTTTGAATATCCGAAGGTTCTACTATTTTTTTATGCTATGAAAATGATATTAATCAAATCACTCTATATAAGTGATTTGATCATTTATATGTATTTCTTGAGATCAAACATGATTCTTTATGTTTAATTTTAATTTAAAAAACGCCACAATTTTTAATAATTTTTTTAAACAAAAACCTAAGAAATTGTATTGTTAATTGTAACAATGTTCATTTTTTATGAAATCTCATATTTTTTATCAATATAAAATTTTTAAAAATCTATTGAAAAACACGTATTTATAAAAAATTAGAAATATATATTCTAAAAATTTTATGTGAAATAGAAATATTATTTATTTAGCTATACTTTAATATAAATAAATAATTCTACTTTAGCCAACTGAGTTTCATTTTTTTTAAATGAGATGCAAAAAAATTTAAAGTGAAACGTATTATTTTAATTTAAAATTTTTCAATCTTGATTTGCAAATCACTAATTTAATCAATTCATTTTATCAATATGTTTGCATAAAAATTAGATCATATAGACATGTGTTAAATATTATCATATAAATGAATTGATAAAATTTTTAAATGAGAATCAATTCTCTCTTTTTCAAATCATATTGAATTTTTGAGATGATGAATTTTCCATATGATGTGTCAAATATTCTATTGTAAAACAAATTAGATCTAAAAAAATATCAATAATTTTAATAATTCTCAAAAAAATTATAATAAGTATGAAAACATAAATCTTTATCCAAGACTAAAATCACCCAAAAAAAGTTGACAATGACTCTAACAAAGCAAAAATTTGTAGTTAATATAAATAATGATAGAATATTTACAAAATCATTAAAAAAAATTCATGAAACTAGTCATCATAGAAATATAACATTTAACTGAAGTCATTAAAACAAAATTTTATCAATAATTTGCATGGCAAGTATGTGTTGTATAAATGAAGGAGAAAATTACTAGATATGCCCGTACATAACACAAAATGCTTCTTGAAATTTAACATGTGTCATTTAACTCAATGGAATTCTATTGACGACATTTTGTCACTCATTATTTAAGAGCAACTGACTTCCTGGGACCGCAAGTGTTTTATATCAATAAGCCGAGTTGAAAGTCAAAATTGCAATGGGAGTCAAATAAGTCAAAACTTTTCAACGAGTGTTTTGGCTAAAGTGATAGTGCTCTCTCCTTCTCATCATCTTTATCATCATCATTATATCTAAGCTCAAAAATTTGTCTACTTACGACACCATCGTGTAGATTTTATACGGGATCTTTTTTTGCATTTTTCTCTCTATGTTATCTCTATGGTCAAAATGAACAGCGACTAAAAAACATAGCTGACTTGTTGGAAATTCAAATTCAGGGATCAAGCATCATTGGATATTGTCTAACTATTTGAATATCGTGCATATTGTACCAAAAACAATATGTGCAATTTTCAAAAAGTCATGATATTCCATTGTCTTTTCTTGTAAGTTCAATTTTGACGGCCAAGTCAACTAGAATCAAATCATCTAGAATGAAATCTAGAATTTGGATGAATGATTGCTTGATCAAAACACTAATTGCAATTACAAGTTCCTTTGATGTCTATCTACAAATCTCGTCTCGGCACGTTCGCTTGGGTGGACTTGTTGATCACGAGAATACTTTTCTCGTGATCACTTGACTGTCCGAGAGTGATTCTTTTTGCTATCGGCTCAAGCAGCAAGAAGTCAATCATCTTGAACTTCTTGTTTGTACTCCCTCTCTCAATATTTGTTCTAATTGTCTCCACCTCCTCATCAAGTAACAAGCTCTTAGATATCAAATGTGCACAATTTTTATTATCCAATGGGTGAGTGCAAAGCTCGCAGTCCACTAATCATTCATTTTGGTCACTCTTTTGATCAACTATCAACTGAGCTATGCTCGGTCCATAAATCAAACCTTCCTTCGCTAGCTTCCTTGCAAGAAGTGCCAAATCTATTCCTAGCTTTGGCTCTGGCTCTGCATCTTCAATTGCATTTTGTCATAATCCAAATATACTCGATCCAACGAACATCGCTTGTTAAAAAAAATCTTGCCAAGTGCATTGGAACTCACACAATGGAAGCCGTCAACTATAGTCCAATAGTAACAGTTAAATAAAATTAAAATCAAATATATAGTTACAAGAATTTTGTTTGAATAATGGATAACAGTGGACTGTAGGGTTGTCCATAGGAATCCTATCAAGTAAATTGATAAGTGTTGAATCCCATAAAATGCTTTGTGTTACGCAGAGATTATGTCATGTAAAATTTTTATAAATAAAGGTCAAATATATAGATAAAAAATGCAAATTCAAAATATTAAAAAATAATAATTAAAAGTCTACTTCTTGAATTTGATTGTGTTTGAATTTATATATGATATATGTTCATAAAAAAGTTAGCAAATTATCGTTAAAAATTTGTTAGATATTTGGGCAATTTATAACTCATGATTTCAAATTGTTTACTAATATTGACACAAATTTGAAAAAAATGTTTGCACTATGTCATACATCTAGAGATTTGAACATTTGAAAAATCAAAATGTACATATTCTACAATCATTTTAGCAATTAGATTGCAAATATAGTTTATACTTGCAATACTTTTCTTTCATTGTGTGCAAGGATTTATTACTATATTACTTAAGACTTGAAAATGATGACAAATAAAAGAATTTGGAATTGAATATGGGAAAGATTTCATTGCAATTTAAACAGATTAACCCATGGTCTTTTCAAACTTAAGATCAAATTTGGAAATCTCAAGAGTTTTAAATTTGTCCAACTATAAACTTTCATTTAACCTCGTATCATTTATCAACAGGTCAATAATTTATCAACAACGGCCAAAAGATCTTGAGTGAGAGTACATGTTACGCCTTCATTGCGGAAAGTTTTTAACTACAAGCAAGTTCTGAAATGATAATTTCGAGTTCATTCCAACTTCAGTTTGTGATTATATACCTTCTCTCAAATTGTATTTGTCCTAAAGTTTAATAATCTGGAGAAGTTTTTCAAAAAGTTGACTACATAGGGAGTTTTTTAAAAATTGTATGAAAGTATACTTTAGAGATTAATTTTTAAAAAAGTTTGGATGCGGCACCGGGACTTCCCGAGAGGTCATCCAACAT